AGCCTCACCGCCGCTGGACTCTTACCACTAATAATAACGAGGAGCTAAAAAAACCCGTCTTCCCACTCACAGTTGCACTCCACATGCGTGCCTGCTGCCCACGTGTGTGGACCCACCCACTCACACGCAGACAGACACACAGACAGCACATCCACTGAAACAGGGCCCGAGGGGCAGCAACAGCGACGCAGACCCCCAGGCACGGGGGCACATTTGCTGGCGAGTGCATATAGAAACACAGGGGCCTGGAAGCATCCAAGGGCATCGCTGCTGCTGGTTTTAAGACCAGCTGAATAGGTGGGAGCATCCACACAGAGAGAGATTTGATGCATATATTAAAACTTTCCTTTTTTCATCATGAAAGGGTCATTATTCGTGCTGCTGGGGACTCAGCCGTGGTTTGGGGTCCGGCACTGGGCAGAGCTGTGGGGCGGGCAGGCAGCAGCCCCATGTGGCCGGGCAGAGAGGCAGTGGGCAGCAACCTGCTCTGGCAGCAGCGCAGGCAGGTGCATGTCAACACGACCTGTTCTCAAGCACCGCTGGCTGAAAATGTGGTTTGCAACATCCCTCTGCACGGGTCTGCTGTGGAGCACAGTGCACCCAGCTCTGGATCCTACGCCAGCATCCACAGGCTGGAATTTCCCCACTGAAATCGCAGTCAACTGATGGGAAAGCCGCCCGCTCCAGGGAAGGAGATGCCTTCCTGCATCCCTGCTTGCACGAGGCCGATCAAGCCCAGGAGCTGGGGCAGGTCTTGCAGCACAGGTTGAGTTTCTTGCTTTCCAAGCTGGAGAGCCAAAAGACATAGCAAGCCTTCACACTGAGCCCTTCCCTACCCCTCCCTCCCTGCCGGCAGAGACTCACCGTCTCCACCTCCAGCAGCGAGATTCACCCCGCACCAGCCCACCGGGAGGACAGCTGAGTCCGGCGGAGCCCCTGGGAGCAGCTGGGTCCCCTGCCCCCCTGAAAAATGCAGGATGGGATCCAAGGCTCACAGCTTGCTGGGCACAGAGGCCAAATTCCCATCCCACTCCAGCGTACACATCAGGCATCTGACATGGAGCCACCCCAAGGCAGCCCCTGCTCTTTCCCCCAATGCTGCAGGGATGCTCTTGTGGGGAAAAGAAGGATTTCCTATCGCTGGTAGACACCGGGCCGATAGAGGCCACCCTGCCAGCCCCACTGGTGTGAAGGACCCCCGAGGGATGGACCGAACAGCCACGGACATGCACAAATCATCGTTCCCTTCCCGCTGCCCTGCAGCTGCTGTGGCAGAGCTGCCAACCTTTGTGTTTTGTAACAAACCTCAGGGTGCTCCACTCCTGGAATCATACAATTATGTGAAATCACAAATATATACACAAATATATATATAAATAACTTTTTGTATATATAATTTAATAGCCCCTCACAGCTGGAAAAAGTGATGAAAATCTAACCTAAAGCTATAGAAATCAGAGAGAATAGAGGACATGCAGCGTTTTCTTTAAATCTCACACTTGAGCCACTCTCTTGATTTTCGGGCGATTTAAAAACCGTACGTGCCTGGGAATGCAGTGGGATGGGAGGGCTTTTCACCCACGGCAACTGAAACCTTAACAAGACACATGGGTATGAACTACCCCTTCTGGCACTGAGGGGCGAAATCTCATTGTCTCCGCAGCACGGGCTGAATTCCTTAGGTATTTTGAAAAGGAAAATATATCCCTTCCCCTTCTATCCCCTCCCAAATCTGGTATTTCTGAAGTCATGAACTCCTTCTCCTCCTCCTACAGGATCAGAATTTCTCAGGGTAATTCCTCATATTTCATGCATGACCTTGATGCTCAGAGAACCGCAGCTCCCTCTGTACAGGCGCCCTTCCTGGGCTCCGAGCAACTCCATGATCCCAGCCTGTCTTTTCCAAGACACGCCGCCAGTTTGCAAAACGGCCGCCAAAAATGCTCTGTATTCCAACACCAGCTGACAGTGAACTCATCTAATTAATTAACAAGTTAATCTGCGGCCGGGGTAAGTGGCTGGTCCACCCTGACCCCGCAGGCCACAGCGAGATGGGGCTAGTTGCTGGACACCAGTTTATTCTGCTGGAGTTGCATCTAATCTCGCCCATCCTCATGAAAAACATTAAGGAGGGAGTGGGGGAAGCTGAGCCCTAAGAGGAGGTTAGCAGGGCTCTCTGCAAACATGCTGTGGGCATCAACCCCGCACAGAAGCAACACTGCTGAAGGTGGAAGAAGAAAAGAATGGAGATTATCCTTTGTTTACTGATCAGGAGCCCCACTGCTGGCGGAGCAGAGTGAATCCTGGGGAACAATCGCGGCAAGTCGGGTGGGTTTGGGGTACTGAGGTCACGCACTGGGAGAGAAATGCTTCTTGGAGAGCTATCTCTGCGGGAAGCAAAGCAAGTGCCACAGGGTCTCATTCCAGAGAGGACGCACACAGCTGGTCCCCATGGGACTGTGCTGGGGAAAGGCTTGATGAACATCACTATCTGCCCAGCGCTTGCTGGGAGGAAACCACCGCCAGGGAAACCACCCTCGCCCCATGTACACCTCCCAGTCTGTCCCCCTGAACCTGCACACAGGCATGAGCCCCAACTCCCAGCAGCCACTCCAGTGTTGGACACGTCCAAAGCCCCCTGGCAGTGGAACCGGGGATGTGTGTCAGGGGACAAGGCTGCCCTGACAGTGCAGAACTTCTGCAAGATTAAATCCCTGCAGCAACAAGACAGAAAGGTAGTAATAAAGAATTTAACATCTCAGACGATACAGAACATCTGGGCTCCTCATCGGAGTGTCATACGGCTGCAGCACCACAAGCATTGGCTGTGTTACACACACAGGTCCAGCTGAGCCGGCGAGGGAACCCACCACTGCAAAGGGGGACACTGGGGTGTGGGAAGGAGCTCACACCCACCTAAGACCTCCCAGGCAAGGAGAAATCTGTGGGCAAGATGTCTCCCTTAGGCTGGTCTCACCACTGTTCTCTCCCAAAGGACAGGGCCAAGCCTGGGGTCGCTGCTGAGCCCATAACAATGGCAGATTATGCCACTGCCCTGCCTGGAACCCAGCACTCCCCTTATCCCCTCTTCAAAGCCCCCAGCAGCCCGCGGCCCAGGGGCCAGCACCAGGGCAGCAAAATCCCACGATATACCCCAAGGTTTTGCCTGCTCCGAGGATGGCCAGGATCTCTACGGGCCTCCTGGGGACCGTCAGCAGGGGAGAGCCTGAGGCACCTCTTCCCGGGGGGCTGGAGTGCTCACCAGCCCCTGCCTGACTCCCAGTGGGATCAGGAAGGAGCCTAGCAGCTTTGACAAAGACCCACAACCCTCTGAGCAGCTCTGGTTTTAAACAAGAGTGGGAGCAGTGAAAAGCCTTACTGTGTTCATGGGGGAAATGAAGCCCATGGAGCTTCTCTGATGTCTAATAAGCGCTGTGCATCCTTCAGGGCCGTTTCCCCGGCAAGAGCAACCACGTCCCCACACACCGACCTGCGGGATGCTTGCAGGATACTAATTCCCGACAAACTGGGCTGAAACCGGCCCCAGGCTTGGAGAGTACTGCAGGAGGGCAGGTGGACAAACCACAAGAATGCACAGCCCTTGTTCCCGTAGGAAACTGGGGGGAGCAGAGAGCCAGACTGCCCCACAGAGTGCCTTCAACCGCAGCTGGATGGCTGGCCCAGGACAGGCGAACTCGCTTCTCTGCCTCCCTCCTTCCTCCTCCTCTGCACCCGGGCCTTCCCCTCGCCGCCAAATCCCAGCCGCCAAGTGAATAAGGACATTGTTTGCAGCCACCGGAAAGCCAGAACGGAGGGAGCAGTTTGGAGCACAAGGGGGAGGAAGGGCGAGGAGGAGGAGGAAGGTGGAACCGGAGCGAGGAAGCTGCGAAGGGCAGATGCCTGTCGCGGGAATGGCTCCAGACACCTGCAGCTCAGCCCAGGGACCGGGATCAAGGGCTCCCATTGAGACCCGCGTCCCAGCACGTTGCTGGAGACGGGCCTGAAGTCACAACGGCTGAATTTTAATGCACCAAAAGCCCTGGACCGAGGAGGCGAAGCACAACCTTTTGCCTCCCCACACCTCCCACTCACAGGCTTCCTGCTCCCAAGCCCCGCTCTGCCATCAGCTGGCCAATTTTCTGAGAAAAACCCATGCAACAAACTATTCTTATCCCTCCTGAAAGTGTCCCCCCACCTGCCAACACACCAGCACCTTGACACCGCACAGCTCTGGGGCATGGCACCCCAGTGCCCTCCCCCCCAAATGAAACAGGATCTCAAACCATGAGATCCCGCACTGCCGCAGACCAAGGGGACCAGTCCCCAGAGCCCAAACCCCCTGGAGCATCCTTCCTGCCCCCCTCCCCCCCTCCCCCCGCTGCTCTCCTGCTAACCAGACCCAGGCAAAAGCATCTCTTTCAAACTCCCCACAGCCCCCACGGCACTTGCAGGAGGCTGATCCGCTTACAGGGACAGGAAGGAAATGTTTTCTGGTTGGGGTTTCATCTTGCACCCATTTACAGTAAGCACCAGGCAGGAGGGGAGGTCTTGGGACAGAGCAGGAGGCCTCACCTCCCCTGACTGGCCCAGAGCACACGCACACCGCTCCGGGGTTTGGCTTTTCTCACGGTGCTCCCTGCACAGAGATCGGGCTGGTTTATCCCTGGCAGGGGAAGGAAGAGGGGAGGGGAACAGCCTCCGGGATATTAATAGCTGCCCTTGCTGGGAAGGGATGGGAGCAGCAGCCATGCAGTGCATGGGCATCAGAGACCCCCTTCCTAGCATCAAGGGACCCCCTGAGCACAGGGAGAGCTGGCGCTTCGTAGAAAAGGGATGGAGGCCAAATATTCAGCACCGGCTTGGGGGAACGGGATGTGGGGTGCCTCTCACAAGAGCGGCTCTCCGCCCTGTTCTCATGCTGGGGTGGGTAGAGATGCCTCCTGCCTGTCCCCATCTCCCAGCGAGATGCTGGCTGGTCTCCAAGCCTTCTTCAGCACACCAGGGAGGAGAAACCATCAGGCTAAGCACCATGTCCCATCTCCGGCACCCACCCCAGCAAGGGGCATCCCTACAGTGTGGCTGGCACGCAGCAGCTGGATGCTCCCCCCCAGCCACGACTCGTGGCTGGCCCGCAGGACTCCAGTC